GAAGGTGTTCGTCCCACGTCCTGTGATCACCCCTAACACTCTGTGCTACGAGGGTTTTAATCACTCTATTTCGCCGTTCAATCGGGTTGCCTTGAGGACTATAGGGGGCCGTGTGTTGACAGGAAACGTTCCAATCCCTAGCCATCTCTTGGAAGAGTTTCGCACAAAACTGGGTACCATTATCAACTATTAATGTCTCGGGTGCCCCATATCGTAGTAGTACTAACTCCTTAAATTTGTCCGTCACGTTTTTGGCCGTGGCACATCTCAGAGGTGCCATCTCTACCCATTTGCTGTATTGATCTTGGAAAGCGATTATGAATGTATTTCCTTTTCTAGATCTCGGTAACGGTCCTAGCAAGTCTGCGGACACCGTATGCCACGGTCCACCCGGTGGACGGTAGTGCATTTGACCCGCTGGTTTTACTTGTTTGACTTTAAATCGTTGACAGCTTGAACAAGTCTTTACATATTGTCTAACTTCTTTTCTCCAACCCGGCCAAAAATAATTCTCAGCGACTCGGGACGCCGTTTTCTTGAACCCAAAATGACCGGCAGTAAGTGAGTCATGGGTCTCGTGTAGTACTTTCATTCGGTCTGACGCATGAACACAAAGTTTCCAGCTTTCCGTCATCACGCCCGATTTTCCGGTTCTTCGGACAAGCTTATACAACTTGCCTTCCCGGATTGTAAATTTCTCATACGAAGACGGATTTTTGTTTACTTTTTTAAACAAAGTGTCGTACCAATGATCTGGTTCCGACTGCTCGATAATTTTGTCTGATTGCGCGATTATTGGGCAAACCATTGTTCGGACATCTTCACACGGGTGCTCAATGGGATTTCGTGATAGTGCATCAGCGACCCTATTAGCCGTTCCCTTACGATACTCGACCTCAAATTCGTATTGTTGGATTTCTAATACCGAACGAGCCAAGCGGCCGGACGGTTCCTTGAGTCGCAGTAACCATTTGAGGGCGATGTGATCCGTTACAGCTACGAATTTGTACCCTTCTAGGTATGGTCGGAACTTTTTAACGGCCCACACTAAAGCGAGACATTCCTTTTCTGTAACGGTATATTTTCGTTCAGTATTGGACAGAAGTCTACTAGCATACGCGATCACAATTTCGGCATTATTTCTCTTTTGAGTTAAGGAAGCCCCGAGGCCCTCATCTGACGCGTCAACCTGCAGTTTAAATGTTTGACTGAAATCTGGACACGATAAAATAGGTGCCGAAACGAGACGATTTTTCAACTCGCAAAAGGCTTTCTCTTGTTTCTCACTCCAATTCCACTTCACACCTTTCTTTAAGAGGCCAGTGAGAGGAGCGACGATCTTCGATAATTTATCTATAAATCGCCGGTACCATGACGCAAGGCCTAAGAATGAACGAAGACGTGTTACCGTCGTTGGGCGCGGATACTCGACGATAGCTCTAACTTTGTCGGGGTCAGTTCCTATACCCTCTGAATTTATCATGTGTCCTAGATATTTCAGCTCTGTCTGACAAAACTTACACTTCTCAATGTTAAGTTTAAGACTAGCTGTACGTAGCCGTTGGAAAACGTCTTTTAAGAGCTCTCAGTGCGACGCTGGTGCAGTGCGTGGCCGCTCGGTGAACTACACCCCGCGCTATTTGAATTGTGAACGGCAACGGTCCTACTCTCAATATTTGACCGTTACAAGATTCAGCTTTTAGTGACAATTTTTCCCACCAAAATTGCAGTTTTCTGATGTGTGAGGCCTCATCGTAACCGAAGGATTTGGGTTATATGTGTCTCTTTTATGTGACATTTATAACAGTCAATGATTTTTGTATACACCACAGTATCCTTCCTTAGAAGTAAGATTTGTTTTACCTAATAATTCATTGACTATTTAAAATAATAGTTTTTTTAAGTAAACAGCAGCTAGCATCACGTTTTGACTTAAAAATCTGCGATATCTTTGATTTAATTACAAATTTTCTATTGCTTTGAGTTAAGTTAAAAATTATCTATTTCTTACACTATATTCCTTAACTTATCATTGACTTGAAATTTGTTAAAGCAAACCCTGAAAATAACTTTGTAATTAGTTTTTCCAATACAATATGAAATCATGAAAAGTGAAACAAACTTTGATAAAAAAAAAAAAAACGACTTTAGATAAGTACGTTTAAACAATTTTACTTGAATTCACTAAAATATCACCAACTGTAACAATAACCCCATTTTCATATGTATGTAAACAAAATTGTATCATGACCATTTGTTTTGATTTTATGAAAAAATTAAAATGGCCTTCGACATTATCAAGATTGCTAATTAGCAAAGCCTTTTTTTCTATAGACGATTTTTAAAATGCAAATAATTACTCTGAACTCCTAACACTATTGGCCACTAGTAGGCAGCCTGCATGAGCAAAACTCTTTTTACAAATTGTTTAGTTTTGAAGTATTATTTACTTAAGTTTTTATAGATTTGGGTAAGAGCATTCCATCTTAGAATTTTAAATTTAAATAATAGGCCTATATGTACAGTTTATGCAATAAAATGTTCAATGTGCTTCATAAGATTATATAGATTTAAGCATGATGTCATATTTGTGTCCTGACTTTAGACGTTGTCTGTTGTAATTTTATGGTGCTGAATGACAATAAAGATTATTATTATTATTTTTCTTGCAGTTACTGTACTTTTGGACATGATGAGATTTGGACGTCGTGCAACAGACAAATATTTTATATAGGATGTTGTGAAACAGCTCAAAAATTGCATATTTTAGACGTCGTGACACTGACTTATATCATTGGTCATGGCACTTGGAAGTCATGCAATGCATCCAATTTAACTAGTACTTTATTTTCAAAATGCATTTCACAGTACACTACATATAAGCAATGGTAAAACAAGTGAATAATAGGCATAATTTATACATCGTGGGCAAAGTTTTAACATTTCCGACTCTCATTGTGTGTTTCTTTTAATATTTCATTTTTTGTTTAATTCCCTTAAATGGTATAAAGTCTCTTATAAACTGGACCCAGCTATCCATAATCATCCTTTAATAGATTGTACACATGAGCATGCTGATCTTAGTCACTTACTATCATCTCATTCATTCAATCCTCATCTTTCACTTATCTTCCCCTTAAAATATGCAGCTTGATGTTTCCTTAATGAATATAATCTAATATATTTTTTTATTCCGTAGGTGGTGAAGCAGCCAAGGTTACTGTGGCAAGGGTAAAAGAATCGGTTAATCTGTACAAACAGTCTTCCCAACATCATCCTCAAGCTCCCCCAACCTGCCCCCCTCCTTATACATCTCCTCCTCCATTGTACCCTTCCACCACTTCCCCTCCTTCTTACCCTACTGCTGCCTTCCCGTATCCTCCCAGCTACCAGAACACTGTCGGATTTATGCCACACCACAATGGATGGACTTCAAGGTAAGATGTGTTTCTTATTGTTTCAATTCAAACAAAAAGTACTCTCATTATTTTATTTACAATACGTAACATATTTCATATTTAGTATGTAAGTTTTGTGAACATCAAGCTGTCGGGTCGGTAACAGCACAAGTGAGCTTGTGTTATGCTGTGATTTCTTAATTTCTAAGGCAAAAATAGTTATCTTGGGCTACCGTCTGATCTACAGTTTGCTGAAAACTCAGAATATTTTTAAATGCACCAATGAACAAAATTTACATCATGTTAAAGAGTGAAATGAGAAATCATCTTTCAAGGAGCTTTTAAAATATGTGTTATTTGTCACTAAATCTCGCATTTATGGGCAAAAGGGGTTAAGTCAGTGGTCACCTTAACCCAGCGGATCCCAAACTATAGGTCGCCGGTGGAGCAATTTCGGGAGGTCCAAAGATGAAGAGTCCAAAACTAAAAAAAAATTTACCAGGACTCGTAATTTTTCATTACCAGAATAGTACCGAGCAGGTAGCAAGGGGCACGGCTGTACATTAACATATTTTCAGTATATTCATAGTTTAACGTGATTGATGTGTCTCTTAGCTTCAAACTAGAAGTTTTAAACACTAATTGTTTGAAAATGTATTCCCAATCTTTATTTGTGGATTTGAATACCTAATTGGGATATTTTCTGTGTGGATAATGCTCTACCGATAAAAGAAAATGTCTTCAAAGTTTTTGTGACCTATAATTTTCAATATTGCCGAAATAGGCCAACCAAGTCAACTTTTGGGACCAATCTTAACAACGTGAAGATGTTATCTTAATGCTAATTGAGATGTTCCCGCAAACGAGGGAGAAATATACAAAATGACCATGATCGTTGGAGGCGATGAGGTTAGTGCCGCGATTACGGAATATAGTTTGGATGAATTGGTGATAAAAGAACGATTTACCAAACTTACTTGTATACAAATGAAACATACTTATATACTTCATGTACACTACTTCGTATTTCATGATTGCACATGTACAGGATTGGAACCTGCACATGAAGAAATATCCCAACACCACACTCGTCAGTGCAACGCCTTAGCCAACTGAGTTACCATGCCGTCAGCTGAACGGGTATCTTGCAAATTTTACCGGGACACGGACTCGCGAGGGGCCCTACCATACGGGCCCCCTATCATAACAATATTTATATGAGAATATTACTACACGTTTTTAATGACAAAATTTTGTTAAACCTTGAGAGATCTTCAGATCTAGCACAAAGTAAAAAAATCGAGCTCGATGTCAAGCTTTTACAATTGTGATAGACCACGTGAATGAAAAATTTACGCTTTTGCTGCGATTGTGGATGTCGAAGAGATCAACATTACCTCACGGTTGACAAAACCGATGTCTCCAAAGATGGGAGATGTTCAATATTTTGTTGCGATTGCGACAATGATGTCCACATGACCGTGGGAGACAGAATTTTGCTATGATAAAAGAAGACGATTTTTTTTTGCTTGTATCTACGCCAGTGGCATTTTTGTTATGAAGTAATTTCAAACACTTTTAAGGGAAAGCGGTCCAAACCCATTAAAGTTGAAAACCCGTCCCTCAAGCACCGAAGTCCGAGGCGCTAACTACTAGGCTAGTAACACAACCAGCCTTATTAATGTTTCCGTGACTGTGTGAGATATTCAAGATTTTGACGCTATCTAATAAGACGATGCTGTATCTTTTTCCGCGGGAGATTTAGGATTTTGCCACGATTGCGGAAAAAGATTATGTTTCTGTACCCGCGGGAAATATTAAGGATTTGACCGCGATCTGGGGGGAAGGTGATGTTGTCTACACGACCGCAGGAGATGTCCTGGGTTTGGTTGCAATCACATAGATGATGAATGTTTCTGTGACTGCGGGAAGGATTCAAGATTTTGCCCTGGGGATCTGACAACGTTGATAAAATTTCCGTGACCTATGAAGGTATTCAGGATTTTTCCGCGATCATGGAAGACAATGCGGTGCCTCGGGAGATGCCGTGCCAAGCCCAAGTGCAAGCTTGAATCAAAATACCTGTGTTAATGTTTTTAAAGATTATTGGGAGAGGGGGGCCCAGTGAACAAACTTGGTGGGGTGTTCTTATCGCCACCATTGCTTTTGCCCCCATTCAGGAAGGAATATGCTAACCCATCCAGCAAATCCGCCATTCTTCAAGCAATGGACTCAGTTATTGTCATCTTTCGTCCTTTGCTGCCATTGCCACTTAGATTGTGATTATTGACTGTGTTGTCAGTCTGTCATGTGTATTTTGGTACCTCTGTTACTGTTATTCCCCCCACTTCATCCCTTAATTACTCTGTGAGACAATCAGATAAGTAGACCTAACTTCGCCAGTGCTTAAAGGGACTGCATCTGGCACTCCCACATACAATTTTAGATGAAAATCTACTTACATAGTTGCCTGGTGTCAAATGCTACTCATGCTGTGTAGTAAAATGTTTCAAGATGTGAAAGCTCATCTTCAGTTGCAGTCATAAATTAAAAATCAATCCCAACAATCAATGTTTGTCGAATATTAACAACCTGCACACACATAGACACTCACTAAATATACATTTAGCACTTGTTATTGTTGGTATTTTAAAGAAATGGCATATACCATTTACAGGCTTTGCCTGTGTAAATAAATGATTTTTAATTTCAAGTCATTCATTTCATTTCATTGTTCATTTCATTTCATTACACCTGTAAATCCATAGAAAAAGGTTGACAACCATAGGTCTACTGAAAAACGTAATACGGGAACGTCACAGACCACAGTGTTAGCTGACTGGTGGTTCTTAGTTCCAGTTTGGTTGTAGAATTTAAATTTACCAAACAGTCGCCGAATATATAACTCCTCCCATACCTAAGTTTTTTTTACAATGATTTGAAAAAAATCTCATACATCATAAATCTCATAAATATCATGTCTTCAGTTTTATCACCTTTTATCCCAATTTAATTTAGAAGTGTATTTCTCAGGAGACCATTTATAAGATAATAACAATAATATAACTAAACTAATACTAATCTAGTAGCACTAAACTAGTACTAACTATAATATTTAATATGCAGGATACAAATAGGAGAAAATGTTGGAAGCAGCCGCTGAAGACACTTTGTCGTTCAGACAATCTTAAGAATATATATTAAATATATGGATTAATAATATATATATATATGTATGTATATATGGAATTTTTTCAGTATAAGAGTGGTTTTGATTACAGGTATGCTTCCAGTTCAGGTTCAGGTCCAGCACGCTATGATCTACCACCATCGGAGGATTATGAGCAGGATCTCTCTGGGGCTGTTGGGGGAGCCAGGATATAGCAGGGTTCCACCCACATCCAACAAACTTCCATGACACAACTAATCTTTCAATAGAATTAAGAAAACTTATCAGCTCAATTAAACTGCACTAGCTAATAACATAAACATACACATGCTGCATGAATTTGAAATTTGTTTTCTCTTGTGTATTTATCAATGGTACTTGCAGTGCAAGCTTTTACACTGATTTGTTGTCTGTAGCTTTAACTGTTATATGTAGTCTTTCTTGTATTGTACAATCTAGCATATATTTTTTAACAATTTAATGTAATTTATTTTATTAATCTTTTAACTTTTTTACTTTGACCAATCAGTCTATGATAATAGTATTTTTTATAAAAATATGACTGCAGGATTTGCCTTATCAAATCAAATCTTTCATATACTTTTTAACATATGATGTATTTTAAAATTATTATTTTAATTAATTTTTACAATGAAAACCAGTATATAGTAATAGTATTTTTTATAAGAATTTGACTGCAGAATATGTTGTATCACATCAAATATTTAGTATATATTTTTTTAAACACTTTAATTGTATATATATTGAATTAATTATAATTATGTATATCTATTTTTATTCTTTTAATTATTTTGATCATCAAGATCAATGAATGGTAACAGTATTTTTGGAGGATTTTTACTTCAGAATATGTTCTGTGAAATCAAAATTGTAATGTTTATATTTTAACTTAAGGTGAAAATAAATTAGTGTAAATTAGTGTACATAGATAAAGATAGGGTGATAAATGTAAAATATCATATCACAAGTCTCAAAACTTCATTACTGAATCTGATAACAATTTTTAATACTCGGTCGATAGTTCAAGCTTCTTAAGTCTTGATTTGTACACTAGTTGCAAGATTTTACAAATGCTCAAATATGTAAGAACTAAGAAGTTATAGAGATCCTTGCTTTCACCCATGATATGTATTTCAAAGTTAGTTGAAGTCTGACTCAAAAACTGCAAAGGCAATAGGACCAAACTTTCTGTAAGGATTCAGCAATGCAAATCCTAATCGTTATCCTAATCGTCGTGTTTTACCTAATCGTTTTCCAGGCTGGCGAAAATGCAGAGTAATGTTGTTTAATATTTTTAAATAGTTCTTTGTGCATAACCCCTTAGAATTTCATTTTTGAATGGTTTTTGATTGCAAATACATTTCAGAAAGCTACAGAAAATAACTGCATCATACACATACAAGCAGTATTAGGGTTGATCTTAAAAACCGACCTGGCATGTGTAACTGCACAAGAGATACCTGGTTTTCATCACACAAATGTAATAATTATTTTAATGGTTATAACTTTAAATACACTCAGTGTTTACTTATTATGTTTTATAGAAAATTATTGGCAGTTCAATTTACTAATGACTTTCACTTGGAGAAATGTAAAGGTTAACGTTTCTTGAATACGCCTCAGTAACATCCTATCCCAGCAACATTTTCTTCATATTAAATATACAAACATTATAGTATGTTGATCGAAGATTTGGTACTTCTAGATTCACACGAATTCTTGTTTTATTGGCGAATTTTCCCTATAGGGAAGTAGTTATTTTTGGGAATACCATGGTTTTAATGGATCTCTGTAGTTTAGTGAAGCTGTTTGTTATATTGATTTTCTCGATGTATCATTTTATTCCATTATATTGTTGATGTCTGAGGTACATTTTTGACCTTTCCATGTTTTACGGATAGTTAAATTTAATTGTTTAGGTTAAAATGTCTTGTGATTTACTGCTAGATCAAATATTATAGTAAAGCCTGATCAATGTTGGATTTTTAATAATTTACAGTTTTTATTAATTTGTGTTATATTTATCTGATGTGCTTGTGAGCTTACTTTTATAATATCATGTCCTGACCTAGCCCTTTTGCTTAAAGATCAAAGATTGTATTGTTTGCAATTATTGTACCATTAACCACACAACAAAATCAGCTAGTTATATTTAACTACTCAATTTCAAAAGAGGACACTGATTATGATTACACTATACTAAAAAAGATTAATAATAGACAGAAATCAAATTATATTTTTAATTAAATACTATTTAGATTAGATTAAATTTTTATAATGACACTCCAGGGTAGGGTGCTTATTTTAATGCCTAGAAGAGTAAACAATGAGTGTTGAATGAATAAGTTGACAGCTTTGTTCCTGCCTAAGATCAGCTGTTTTTAGACAGCATAGTTATATTAAAAGCCTAATGAGCAAAGACAGCTGAGTTCCCTTTTTGACTTTTGTCAGGGTTGAACCAGCAACCTTGTGGTGATTTCTAGCTAGTACTATCCACTCAGCTACTCAGGATAATCAAACTATCTGTTAATAAATACTCAGGAGAGGAAACTATTTAATTAGGTTCCGTAGATGTTAAACACTATCCACATCTGTTTATGGTGTTATCCTAATTTCGAAAAAGTTTTCAACAAAGGTAAACCTGCTCTGTTCTCAAACAGTGATTATTAATTTTAAATTACATTCATGATTGGGCATATACACATCAATAAACGCTTGGTAGTTTGTATTTTGAGAGGGTTGTTATTTCATGTTATCTGCTCTGACACAATGTTGTTATATTGACATCAGTATATAAAATGATCCTGTATCTTTAAAAAATCTTGTGTCTATAAGTTTGTGTTAAAAGTGAAAACTGATTCCATTTTAACTGTCCTATTGTTAACTAGTTGTAATGCTTAATGTAGACTATGTTTCTTTGTTAGGTTTTGTTGTGACCTTCAGTGAAGATAAATATTTTTATATAATATTAATTTGTGATTTTTAATGATAAAGAAGAAACAATCTGTATTGTAAAAGTTAATAAAATATTTGTGATAAGAAGCCTGTAGAAAAGAACAATTTCCGTAATGAACTTGTTAATTAAAAATATATATTTACACATTTTGTAAAGTTAAAATTCTTAAACCCAATTAAAAGATTAAAAAAAATAAATATTTTGTAATCAACCTAAATATTTATTTTTATTTTTTACCATCCATGTGTCGTTTCTTTTACACTAAATATATATTGAACCGAAAATAAGAATTTATCTGTTTTTCTCCATTAGCCCAGCAACAAAATGTCACTTGCAATAATAGTATTGTGAAGATATTGTTGTACAGTGTGACCGAAGGAAAAAATACCCCCGCCGCAGCAAACCTGCAGACTAAGCGAATTTCAACTTGTCTGATTACATTTTTACTCAAATATTTCCATAAATAAGACATATTTATTCCCTATTTAAATAACATTAGATTTAACAAGTGCTTAGGTTTGCTGCTACGGGGAGGGTAAAAAGTGTTTTTTGACCATTCGTGAATAGTATGGGATGAAATAAATAAATTTGCCAAATTTTATCAATATATATCCATAAACAAGTAAACTACAACAATTTTTATTTTCTCCATAAGAATAACATGGGAATTTTAAATTACACTATTTTTGAATTTTCTCCATGACCGTTAGGCATACAACAGCGCTTCAATATACTAAATTATTTCTTTTTTTAAGCTCTACAAAACGGTTTAGAAAGAAATTGCAAATTTTTTTGTTTTTAGGGTAAAAAATGGGAAAAACACATTTTTACCCCATAAAACCCCCCATAAACCCCTGTTCCCATGGTCCGATTATGCTGGATCGCGAACTCGTTCGAATAAACGTAGGTTTACACGTTTGTACCAAATTTCATCAAAATCGGATCATTTTTGCTCGACGGACACACACACATATATATATATAAATATATATATATATATACACGGCCGCGCCCGGGAAGCCAGTCACATAAAATATACACTGGAAGTCAGTCAGTTGCACCCCCCAATATATTTCAAGACTATGATATATATATAATATATATTGGTAAATATCTTAAGCCTAGACATATCTGAACGTATATATCTCTTTTTTTCTTAAAAATACTAAAATATAATTACGTAAAAAATGCTATGCTAATGCAGTCACCACCGCATTTGCATGGGAAAGCCAGTCACGTAAAATTTGTGCTGCTAAGCCAGTCACTATATATTTTACCGCATACCACTGGAATCCAGTCACTGAAAATCCACCCGGGTATCCCGTCACTTCAGTTACTTTCACCCCTGCCCTTCTACTTTGTGATATTTATTTGTTCTACAAGCTTGAAAATCCGCACCTCAAACAAATGGATTATGCTTCAGGCATTGAGCACTCCCATAACCCATCTTTCGCACTTCATTTTAATTAGTTGTCTTCCAGATTACTTAACAATTACTATTCTACAGATTAAATACCTAAATGTCAATGTAATCTTTGGTCGTCTTAATAGTCGTCCTGGCAACTGTGGATACAAATATGTACCGTACTAATTCGCAAGCGTAAGGTGGGAAGTTATTGCTTTATAGTCGCACAATTAGGCCTATTGTTGAGTCCTTGGAGGCAAGCGGCCATCTTGGATGATTTCAAAAAGCTGCAAAATTTATCGTCCAAAAATATTTTTCAAACACCAAAGTGTTTATAATTTAAATAGCTAGTATACTGTGGGATTAGAAATGTTCTTTGTAGTTTTGAATTATTCTCCAAGGGAGTCCATAAAATAAGTTAACGGTCACGGTCATCTTGGAAAAAGGCCAACTAATACGAAAACAATATCCTGTGTTGCGCGGGCCGTAGCACACAAATAGTTTTCCCGCCTCAAACAATCAAAGGCGTGTGTAACAAGGCAAAATTCTTGTCTCTTTTGTGGCGAGAGGTAGGGGCGAGCCTAACGGGTTCCATTGATGGGCTACCCGGCTACCGACCGACCTGGGGTAGCGACTAGCGAGCCAGTGGATGGTTAAAGGTTCTGCCGGTTATTTCCATCTTATTGCTGGTTCTCGAGCTTTTTGAGCTCGTTGTACAGTGAAATATTACTTCCCTATTTTATATAGCCACAATCAAAGCGATTTTTACAAGAAAGAATGAAGATATAGACTCAGTGATGTGTGGTTACTTAATTAAATCATGTTCCTTGATTGTTTACCCTTTTGTAAGAGCCAATAATCAATCAACTTATATTTCTTTATTTTTCGATTTATTATCTATATCAATTCAAGAGGTAGCCCTGTACCTGGTTAACAAATATACCGATTACATTTAACGTGTTTTCTTTGAGTTACGCCCCATGGGATTCCAAAGTTTCACAATGTTTACATTTTTGAAGAATGTAGATAACAGAATGTTTAACGAAGTCAGCTTTAAATGCTGTCAATAAAGTTCTTTGATTTTGCGGTCCAAAAGGTAGAAACGATTCGATTTGTGAAACTTTTAACTTTTGCTACGGGCCTGTTAATTGGAGATTCTGACATTCTTAATTTAAGGAAGTAAACGTATTAACATGACGTGTTTGGAGTGGGATTTGAAATATGTGACGTGTATCAAACTTTTTCTCTTCAAAATCCTCTCCGATGTAAAA